TATATTAATTTAAATTTATTAGATTTATAATATTTAATCTCAAAAGAAATTCGAAACTCTTATTTATGTATAAAGAATATCACACTATTGATTTATTAAATTTTGCTAAGGTAACGCAGGTAAATGATAAGTTCCACCCGATTCGGATATATTTTGTCTTTAATCCTCGTGAAAATTGATACTGATCACCATAATCATCATGAAAGAACTTATCACTATGACTAATTTGTATTGGATTACCATTGTATAGGTAGATCTTAACCTAAATTATAAATTATTTATTAACATTACGTACATTTATATGGAGGGCTCAGCTGTCATGGAATTTGTGGAACGTTACTATAGCTAAGCAAAATATTGTAGTTCGGATTTATCACTAAAATAAGAGATGATTTTATAAAAAAAAAAAAATTTTTTCCTCATCAGTCTATAATGGACAGTTTGAATCGTAAATTATCATACAACCTTCTTTTCCGTAAAAGTTTCGAAATCCTTTTTAAAAGTCGATTAAAAATAATTTCGATTAATATAAAAAATCTATCACACAATCTTTGGTGTTATTAAAGGAATTTTTACAATGTCACAACCACCTGCTTTTCTAGCATTTTTGACTGCAACGGGAACTCTCCCAATCTTAACATATTGTGCTGCTAGCATCTTGATGACAGTTACAAACAAATATGTTTTGTCTGGTTATGAATTTAATATGAACTTTTTGCTGTTGGGAGTACAGGTTTATGTTCATTCCTTATTATCAGTTGGATTATTTTATTTTACGTTTCTTGTAATGATTTACTGACAAATTTTTAATTCATTCAGTCAACAGTATGTATAGTTTTACTAAAAGTTTTCAAATTTATGAATTTAGTTTCATTTAGAGAATTTGATTTAGCTTTATCACGAAAATGTATATATATCGTTTCAACTTTATAATAATTCAAACAATTTTTGTAATTTCTGTATTAAAATGTCTGAATGATATTTATAGGGTTTCCTATTGCCGTGTTACTTGTCGCTATGATTTATACAGGAAGCAAAAGGTAATTGAAAGATAAAATAATTTGATAAATTTTATTAAATTTGTAATTTTCAGTATTTTAATTTATTTTTTTATTTAATAATAATCATAATCATAATGATAATAATGATAACGATAATAACATCAACAATAATAATAACAACAATAATAACGATGAACATAATAGTTTACAATATCTTTCAATCCCTGTATACACAATATTTAAAAATCTAACAATCATTTTAATTGCATATGGAGAAGTATTATGGTTTGGTGGTAATGTGTCAAGATTAACGATGACAAGTTTCTTGTTAATGGTTTTTTCGTCTATAATAGCTGCATTATCAGATAGCTCTAAAGCATCTGTAAAATCTACGAGCGTCATATTTGATTTAGGATATTTATGGATGGCATTTAATTGTATTTCCTCTGCTGCATTCGTTTTAACTATGAGGAAACATATTAAATCGACTAATTTTAAAGATTTCGATACTGTTTATTATAATAATTTATTATCTATACCATTATTAATGATAATGAGTCTTATGATGGAAGATTGGAGCAGTAAAAATTTTGAAAGAAATTTGTAAGTAAAATCATCTTTTCACAGAAAAAAAGGAAAAAAACCGAGCGGCTACTAATTTAATTTGCAAAATCCTATTTAAGACCCGAAGATATGCGTAATACACTCATTATGGCCATATTATTCTCAGGGATATCGGCATTTGGTATTTCATATACATCAGCTTGGTGTGTGAGAGTGACGTCGAGTACAACCTATAGTATGGTTGGAGCATTAAACAAATTACCTATAGCCGCAAGTGGAATGATTTTCTTTGGTGATCCAATCACAATTGGAAATGTTTCTGGCATATTTGTTGGTAAATATTTTACCAATCTACGATTTCTTTTTTATATTTTTATCGTTATATTAATTTTTGTTTTATTTTTAAAATAAATAAAAGGATTTGTCGCTGGAATTTTGTACTCGATTGCAAAAACAGAACAGCAAAAACCCACCAAACCTTTATATATTCCATTATCTAATGAATTACCAAAAACAGCGAATGGTGATAATACTTCTATAATGCAATCAAATCCTATTAATAATAATACAGTAATCAACATAGAAGGAAAAAAATTATTAGAGAAAATGTAAAGACGGCGTTTTATTATCATTTTTTAATTTACAAATTCTTTTTACAAATTCTTACTTTTTTGTAAGAATTACGATATAACTTTTATAAATTAATCTAATTTTAAAAATCAAATTTGAAATAATTTATTGTTTAATTTTGTCTCTTGCAAATTAATATAATTAATTGCTCTTCTCTTCTACCTTCTCTTAATTAAGATATTGCTAAGACAATAATCTCATCACCCGATAAAAGATCATAATACGATAATTGTTTTAAATCATCATCCATTTCCAATTTTAATATTGTCGTCCCTTGTTCTTCCTAAAATATATTTAATTTAATGTACAAAACTAAGCAACTTAATAATATATTCAATTTATAGTACTCACCTGAAAATTAGTTGCAGCATATAATTTTTGCTGAGATGACGGAATTCCAAATAATTTTTGAATTAAATTTTTTAAATTCCGGATTTCCATCGTTCCCAATAATTTCTTTGATAATTTTTTTATCGGATCTTTTTCTAATCCAGTTCTATAGCTAATGGTTATCGCTATAAATATCACAAAATATCATATTAATAAACGAAAAAATATTTAAACAAAAAATTATTATGACACAAACCTAACAATCTATCCTTAAGAACACTACTTGAAGCTTTTTGACTAGTCTCATCATCAGCTATTGGTGTACCATGTATTTCACATAATTCTTTAAATCTTGGATGATTTTTCTCTATCTCTTCAATTGGTTTCATGTCTGTTATGCACAACTTAAGATAAAATCTCTCAGCATCTATTCTGTCCCCTGAAGAAATCTAAAAATAAAGAATAAAGAAATTAGTATAAAAACAATAAAAAAAAAAAAAATTAATGTCATTTGTTACCGAAAAAATTCATAACATACAATGCTACCATTCAGTAGTGTTAACCTTTTAATTCGACCAATTATCGACACATTGGCCTTATCCAATTTTTCATCTAAAAAAACAAATTATTTAATAAATAAAAAAATATTTTATCATGTAAAATATAAAATTTTTCATACTTTCAAGAAAAGGATTCTTCTTAATTCTCAATTCTTTCAAAGAAGGAAATTTATTAAGTTCATTAACGCTGTTCCAGTCACCAATCTTATTCTCACTAATATTCAAATTTCGTAATTTTGGAAAGGCATCTTCATTATCACTTGGATAATAAATCTGATCAATTGCATTATTATTAATGAAAAGGATCTCCAAGCTTATTGTCCAAATCAATAGTAATTGTAGAATTTAATATAATTATAACTTTGAGATGACGTTGTTGAGACTTTTACACTTACTTTGGCAAATCTGAAAATCTTGCAATCTCGTCCCAGCTAGATATTATATTTGACTCGAGATTGATAATTTTCAATTTTGCAAATCCCTTGATTTTATTGAGTTTGTTAAAGTTTTCTTTATTACTCTCATCAAAATCTTCAGAAATTCTGATATTGTTAAATCCTAGCTGCAAATTTTCCAGGATGGAAAAGTTTGATTCGAGAAGTTCTATCTAATTTAACAATATAAATAAAGATGTGCTAAACATTGGAATTATACATATACGTACATACATACATACATATAAAGTATTATTAAATCAAACCTGCTTCCAAGAAATTCTGGTATAATTGAGTGAAAGATTTTTTAGATTTAAAAATGCATTCGGAAAAATGGATAAAGATTCCGAAATTTGAAACCGATTATAACTGTAAAATAACAAAGTTAAAATATATTATGTTATAAAAAAAGATTTATAGCCAACCTGAATTTAAAACTGACTTTAAACGTAAAACTTCTAATTTCTTGAGCTGCTCACATATTTTAGCAACCGTTTCCCAATCTGATAACAAATTCTTTGACAAATTCAAATCAACAATATCTAAGATTTTTTTTTAAAAAAATATTCATACATATTTTAAAAAGTGATTATTACCATAACGAATATTACATTTTGCTAATTACTTGGACACGTTGCTTCAATTTCTCCTGGTTTTCCGGCATGCGATATTTGTTCAAAGGAAAGCCCAATTTCATTTAACCTATCCAATTGTCTTTGAAAACCAAATAAAATGTTATTTTTTTTTAGTAACATCTTTCCCAAAAAAAGAAGTGTAAACATAATATTTACAAACCTTTGTTTTCGACGAATTTTTTCCCATCCTAATGCTTCTACTTCTAATTTTGTACCTGCCCAATGGAGTACATCCAAATCCTTTTGCGCGTCATATGATTTTTCTTCATTTACTTGAAGTGTCACAACATCTTCACCAATGTATTTTTCAATAACAGCTTCGACAAAACTTCGGCCAATATTTATCTTTGAAGAATAACGAATAAACGATCCACTATTAGGAACACTATAAAAACGTATTGATAGATTAATCATTATATGGAAATCTTTTATTTTATCGGTAAATTCGTCTATAAGAATTTACTTACCTACAAGTAAAATAACGAACACCTTCGTGAACACCGTCATGTTTCCCTCTTGACACACTGTCCCATTCCACTCCTAACCATTCACCCTTTGTTGGCGGAACCTCGCCAACGTATCGAACAGTTGCCAATTGATCCTCAAACTGTATACGTTTGTTCAAAAGGTTTGCTACATTTATCGTGTCTATATTTTTGTTACCCATATTATAAGATAAAGGTTATGAATTCGTTCTTTTTTTGTACTCGGATTTTTTATAATTCGCGATCGGCGTATACTACTGGTTGACCATCAAGATTTAAGCAATTATGGCTAGTATATTTAATTAACACTCAATAAAAAACCATTTAATTAATTCAGTGGATACGAATATCCTCCTAAACTATGACAAATCTCACTCGCGGTGTTTTAGTTTTAACGTTATTTTTCGGGTTCCTAAACATTTTCTTGGCGTTAGGACATGAAGAGGTTTGTATGAATCAATTCTTTTTAAGCTTTATTTTTTATCTTGATTATATATATCAAATGTTTATATTTTGTATTTTTTTTATAACTGAAGAATAGTGAGCATAAATACACGGTATATCATAAATTTCCACATCACACCGAATACTCAAAACGAGGAGAAATTTTATTAACAACTTCTCGTGCAACTGCAAAATATATTGGCAATGAGCCTGAATTATCGATCGAGGATCTTGATCATGATTATAATTCAAGGAAAAGCAAATTATATCTTGTAAAAATAGTTGATAATGAGAACCCAAACCATGTTACAAAATCTTTCACCTATTTGGTAAGTTACTAAATCGATTTATTGATTTTTTTTTTTTGCAAAGAAAATCATAATAAAGTTATTCAATTTTATTTAGTGTTTGTTAAAATCTTCAAATCTTGAGGATGAGATTATAATTCATTTGGATAAGAATAACAGAATATTTCAATTTGATTATTACACAAGTAGCGATCAATGCAATAAAACCATTGTTCCGGTAACTTAAAGTTTGCGTTCTTTCTGCTTATTTTTTGTTTTTTATTTTACGTAAAGTATTATTAATATAGTTGGATTTATTTATTAGCAATCTAGAGAATTCAAAACAACTGTTCAAACCATCAAGGCGATAGATGGTGTTGTGTAAGTTATTTGATAAAATATAACAAATATTCTTATGAACTTATAATAATGATATTAATTTATATATATGTAATTTTTTTTTTTTTTTAAAAAAAAAAAAAAAAAATTTCAAGTCCTAAACTTAACAAAGCAATGCCTTCGATAAGGGAAGATGGCACAGTAGAAAAACCACCCGAAGAAAAAAGCTTTATACAAAAATACTGGCAAGTAGATTAATTTAATTTAATCATACTTCTATGAAAATATATTAAATTTATTTTTGCATTATAGGTGGTATTTCATACCAATTGCTATATTATTACTAACCGGAGGTGCAGCTGAAGAACCTCAACAAGGAGGACAACAACAACAGCAACGAGGTGGACAAGCTGCTCGACCTGCACGTCAATAATTTTGTTAATCTAATCAGATTAAATCGATTGATCTCAATCACGGAATTATCGAATTAAAAAAATAATTTACCAATAAAATTTTAATAATGTACCAATAGATATTTTAATTGTTCAAATATCAGTACATAATTTTTTTAATGCATTCAATTGCTTATTTTGTAACTATGAATCGCACCATTCATCATAAATTCAATAAAATCAAATGTGTCCCTGAATTTTTGAGTCGTCAACCCAATCAATTTTAAATGAATACATGACGTAATTTCTACTTTTGAACATCAAATTAAAACGGTAATGAATCATTAAGAATTATTTGGTTTCACAGTTAGTGTTTGGGGGTCTAGCTCAGATGGTAGAGCGCTCGCTTCGCATTATCGCGTGAATGCGAGAGGTACTGGGATCGATACCCAGGTCCTCCATTTAGTCTGTACTTTTTATTTATTCCTAATATAAATAAAATACATTACACGAAAATTGAAATTTATTTTTTTTTTTTTTTGGATATTATCTATCGTTCGTAAAACTTCGACTCTTGAATAAACTAATTTTTCCCTTAAAACAAATCATATACAAAATGGTACACGAATCTCTGAGATTGTAAGTATATGCCTTTGACTTTTAATAAATTTATAGGGCACATACGCGAAAATATATTTATTTCATCACCTTTTATTCTATCACAGATACGCAACCAATGATTCTTATACTCTAGTGCCCTATTACCTTGATCCAACTATAGCAGCTCAGACCTTAGTCATTAATAGAGAGTCTGGTGAATGCTTACTGGACGGTGCTAGTAAGTTTTCTAAAAAGACGTGATAGATTCATATGCTCGGTTTTCTTTCTTTAAGTAAATATACTTATATATCGTTCATTACAAAGTACCCGACCCATCCGCACACGCAGAAGCTCTAACAATATATGGAGTTTTGGGTATTATCAATTTATTGGCAGGTAAGTTGGTCAAGACAGAACATTTAAATCTGATCCATCGTTTTAGATTTATAACTTAATTATTTACGATTATAAATTACCGTGAATTTGATAAATAGGCGAATATCTTATAGTCATTACTGGACGTGAACGTATTGGAAGGTTGGGCAAACATGATATTTTCCATGCGAATCAATTTAGAATTCTTCCATTTGCGAAAAATAATAACCGATTATCTGAAGCGCAGGTATGGTTAACGGTAGATCCGTAATCGAATCAACTCATTGCCAAATTATTATGAATTCTAAAAATATCCTTTAATTAGGCTCAGGATGAACAACGTTATCTGTCGCTTGTGGAAAGTCATCTCAGATCTGGAACATACTATTTTTCTTATACCTATAATCTTACCCACACCTTACAAAGGCAGGCACAATTGGGTGATTTGGCAACTAAACCTTTATGGCAAAGGGTATGGCAAATTTGGTTTATTTGAAAAAGAACGGTCCAAGTATTCTATATAACGAGAATTTTATTTGTAAATTATAACAGGCCGATGAAAGATTCTTTTGGAATCGTTACTTACAGGCAAAACTTATTGATATTACCACTAACAATCCCGATCAAGATGTAAGCTTAAACGTGATTGATTTAATATTACGCTTAATTAACAACTAAATAATTATTTCAATAATTAGCTAAGTGACTTTATCCTTCCGGTTGTATCTGGATGTATGTATATTAAAAATCACATTTTGAAAACATCAATATTTATTTGAGATAACCATTTTTTTTTTTTTCTTTTTGAAATTAGTCGTTTCTATCGTTCCTATAAAAATTAAAAGCAGGGACGTTGTATTTTCTCTAATTTCACGTCGGAGCAGGTACCGTGCTGGCACGTACCATTTTTTTTTTTTTTTTAAAAAAAAATTTTAGACAAAAAAGTGAATTTGTCAAAGTTTTAAAATATTAAATCCAATATTTTCATTTAGGAACGCGATTTTTTTCGCGTGGTATTGATGCAGAAGGAAATGTTTCTAATTACAACGAGACTGAACAAATTATTCTATTGGATCCCATCGAGGATGGTAAAGCACCCACTTCTTTTGAAGGCAAAATTAAATTATCTTACGTTCAAACTCGTGGTTCTGTTCCTATTTATTGGGCTCAGGTTAATAATATCAAATACACACCAAAATTGCAAATAATGGATTTACCTAATACGGTAAAATAATATACTCTAATTTTGTTAATATATAAATTAAATTATTTGCTTACTTATATGTTATTCTCTTAGCTTGAAGCTTTTCGTCGACATTTTGATGAACAAATTAAAATCTATGGAAATCAAATCTTGGTTAATCTTGTTAATAAAAAGGGTTACGAATCTGCTGTGGGAGACGCGTACGAGAAGGCTGTGAAACAATTAAATGATTCCAGAATACTATACTATCACTTTGATTTTCATCATGAGTGTAGCAAAATGCGATGGCATAGAATTCAGATTTTGCTTGATGCTATTGAAGAAGAGTTAATTCAGCAAGGGTAAGCAAGAAAATTTTCGAAATTTGTTTTAATTTATCAACGATTCTAATATTGATTTTTCTTAGATATTTCTATGCCGAAGATTCACCTATCAAATTTCAGACATCTGTTATTCGTACAAATTGCATGGATTGTCTTGATAGAACTAATGTTGTTCAGTCCACCTTTGCGAAATGGATGCTGACACAGCAATTACGCGAAGTTGGTGTGTTAAGCAACAAAGAAAAAATTGATGAAATCGAAAGTTTCATGGATATATATAGAAATGGTATTTAAGATTATTTATTGATATTGAACAGAATTTATCTATTACAGACGTAACTAGTTTATTTATCTTTATTTTTGATTGATTAGTATGGGCTGATAACGCTAACGCTGTTAGCATTCCTTATTCTGGTACTGGTGCTCAAAAGACGGATTTCACTCGGTACATCATTTAATTTAATAATTAGAAAGTTCCCATTTATGCCATTTATGGCAATGCTAATACTATATGTTAATTTAGGACCGGTCAGAGAACCAAACAAGGATTTCTTACAGATCTACAAAGCGGTTTAGCCCGTTATGTAAAGAATAATTTCATGGATGGTGCACGACAGGTAACAATGTTTTTTTTAAATAAAAAAAAAATCTATATTTGAATTCTAATCAACTTTTTTTTTAATCGTCTTGTATTTAATGAACTGTAGGATGCATATGATTTACTATTGGGTAATTATGTGGTAAAATATGGGGCCACATCCCCTTGGATTGATGCTCGAACAATGCAAATTAAATTGGTATGATTTGTAACGTGCAATATCGTGAAATTATCTAAGAACTTTTTATGTTAACGTTCTAAATTTTATTAAATAGGCTCCTCAAATTTTGCTTGCATGTTTGGCATTCTTAATATTCTTATTTATTCTTCCATCGTTTGAAGGTAATGATTAGGTTCGGTTTTTATATTTACATTGAAAACCATCTTAACGAACCTTTTTTATTTTTTTTAGGATATGTAAATTATTTTCGATTCTTGATGCTTATTGATTTAGTAGTGGTAGTGTTCCTACTTCAATTTATTTTGGAGAATGGCGGAGAATTTGTAGATTGGCCTAAACTTGTTGCAAGAGATTACCGATCTTATCAAACTAAATTTAATACAACATCACCTTATAAGGAAAGAACGGGGCGAATTAATGATTTAGGATATGAAGAAAAGATTGAACTACAAAAACTCGAGTAGAGAGCTATATTAGTTAATTTATTTAATCTTTTTTTACACTTTCAATCAATCAATCATTCATTTTTTTTTTTTTTTTTTTTTGATGATAGATTTATATATTTTTTTAATAGGCTATTTAGGTTATATCGTAAAAAGATACAATGTAATAATAATTAACTAACTAATAATAATTAATCTATTATTAATTTAAAAGCTGTATTAACAATATAAACAGTGCTTTTTTTATCATTCTTGTTGCCTTTTATTAAATTTTTTCCTTTTTAGAGTATGGGAATATTTATTGTAATTTCTCTTTCGCGTTCGTTTGTTATCAATTATATAACGATGAGCAGAGTCAATTGTACGAGATACATCTTCGAGATAAACATAATCTAAAACCAAAATGTGATCATTTAGTTAAATTCGATAATCAAGAATAAAAAACTTAATACATACCACTCATTAAATTTTTATATCCATATTGTTCAATCGGGACAAATTCAACTTTTGACCTTATACCATTACAAGAATATTTTTCTTTATGTATTTTACAACAATCCAATGAACACGAGTGAAAATCACATCTTGGACACTTGTACTTCCAAACGTTGTCACAATTTTGACATTTAGTTGAATTGGTTTGTTTTTGAAGTTGAAGGTTTGAAGTTGTCTTTTTCAAAGAATCTGATAAAGCGGCAGTTGATATTCCCGAAAGTATTTGATCTGAAGAACCTTACAAAAGCAGATTCATATTAATCTGCTGAAGAATTTAAGTTAATGATAATCAGAAATCATGAGCTCGATAAATTACTTTTAGATTCTACATTTTCTTCGTCAGAGTCTTCATAATCTTGAAGAATCAAAGCGAGTGGATCAGCAAAGTTAGAATAGTCCATATTTCTGAATTGGTTTGAATTTTGGAATATCCCACCAGATTTTTATCTGATCATCAGTGTCATGTTACATATAAAATAATTATCAAACAATTGTGGAAATAGATAAACGTTTTCTCATTTATTTTCAATATGGGACTTGGCTTTAGTTGTCTCGGCGCCGGGGTAGCTTCGTGGGTTGTCTCGGCAGTTGCTTCTTGCTTTTCTGCTGCAGCGTGTAACCTAGCTTGTAAATCATGTAATTGTAATAATTCAATAGCAACCAGGATAGGGTTTGCAGTGGGTATATGATTTAAAATGATAAAAAAAATTATTTTTCCTGCCTTAGCCTATACTAACGTCTCTTATTTTTACTTTTAGATTATATTACTATTGAATTCTATGGTAAGGATTGTAATCATTGTTACAATTTCGGATTTTCATGAGCTAACAAACAAATTATTTATTTTGAAAAGCTTGCATGGATTATGTTATCAGATTGGGCCATAAAGCAGTTAGAGAAGATAACGTATGATTATTTACAATTGAATTGTCAGGAGGGAACCTGTTATGGAGTCTTTGCCGTAAGTTTTAATGATTATAAATTGAATCCGATTATTATTGATCGATTTATGCTAAATCAATATTTTGAATTATAGGTCCACCGTATTTGCTTTGCATTATCATTTCTTCATCTTATTTTGGGACTTTTGGTAATTGGAGTAAAAGATACACGTGATAGTAGAGCTGCGATCCAGAATGGGTATTTTAATTATGCATTTAATTATTTTATTCTTTTCTTTTTTTTTTAAAATAATCCTTCAATTTCGTATAGATGGTGGGGACCCAAAGTATTGTTGTGGATTATTCTTATAATAGCATCATTTTTCATTCCAAATCAATTCTTCATATTCTGGAGCAATTATATTGCCTTGATCGGGGCAACTTTATTTATTCTAGTTGGTTTAGTCCTTTTAGTTGATTTTGCTCACACATGGAGTGAAACTTGTATAATGAGATGGGAGGAGACTGATAGTGACAAATGGAAATATATTCTTATCTGGTCTACAATTACCATGTTCTTGGCTTCAATTGTGCTTACAGGAATCATGTATGGCTTTTTTGGTGGATCTGGATGTGGTCTGAACCAGTTTTTTATCACTTTCAACCTTATATTGTGTATAATTGTGACATTCTTGAGTATTGCTCCTGCTGTACAAGAAGCTAATTCTCACTCGGGATTATCACAAGCTTCCATGGTGGTTATTTATTGTACGTATATTATTTTAAGCGCAGTTGCTAATGAACCTGACGATAATATGTGCAATCCATGGATAAGAAGCCGTAACACGCGTACGGCTACTATCGTTATCGGAGCTTTATTTACATTCTTGGCGATTGCATATTCAACCTCAAGGGCTGCAACTCAAAGTAAGACATCGATTACATAATTTAATTGAAAAATATCATTTATTAATGACTAACTTGCCTAACGGTTTCCAATCACAAACAAATTATGACGCTGTCGAGAGCGGGTAAGTGATCTCCTAAAATAATTTGAAAGGATCGTATAAAGTATTATTAAATAACTTGATTTATTTTAGCATAATGCCAGCTTCAGCTGTGGATGATGACGATGAAAATGGTCTTGATGATGAAAAGAATGGAGTTGCTTATAGTTACAGTTTCTTTCACCTCATATTTGCAATTGCTTCCATGTATGTCGGGATGCTTTTAACGAATTGGTAAGTATATCAAATTATTAGGCAACTGTTTACGATTATAATCCTCTTTCTGATAATTTTTACTCTAGGAATCACGTAACGACTACTGGATCCGATGAACTCGTTATCATTGGGCAATCTTATGTCGCTGTATGGGTAAAAATTGTTTCCGGTTGGATTTGTTTATTATTATATACGTGGACACTTATCGGACCGGTTCTTATGCCAGAAAGATTTGAGGTAATGTTAAATAATTAATCAATATATAACTATATAAATGCAGTATATATTTACTTATACTCTTTTTTTTTCCCTAAATGAAAAAAGAATTTTTAATTTTTTTTATTACAATTGTAAGAAATATTGTTATATTAAAAAATATAATAATTTTTAAATCTTTGATCTTTTTATTAAAATATCCATTAAAAATGATATCAATGACAATAGTTTTCTATTAAAAGTTCATGTATATCACAAGACAACTCGAACGAGTATTGTCTGCTGCTCAATTTCACAACGTAAGTTGTCTTTTAATGCAAAGAGACAGCCAAACATAATGAAACGATTTGATTCATGAATTATTCTATAATAAAAAGAAAAAAAAAATATTAAAAATTCAGCTTTATGGTATTTTTTTTTTTTTTGAAAATTTTCTTTCTTGCTCATGTGATGAAAAAAAAGAAAAAATTGAAAAAAAATTAAGCGGAAATATTTTATTTGACCGCAAAATTTTAAAAATTTGTGCGGATTTTGAATTATACAGTGAACCTTTACCAAATTAAATACATGTTTTGGTAATGATAATTAAAGGATTTTCTTAATGAGGATCTAAAGATTCGTCAATATTGATGATTATAAAGCGTTCGTTCGAATGAAACGATTGTTTATTTATTTTTTTTTCCTATCGATTTTGACTATAGATAGATTAGATAAGTATTAAAATATAAAGGGGATTATTTTCAATAAGAATTCTTTACTGCATAATGTAACATTTAATTTAACCAAAAGGCACTTTAAAAAAGATTTTTATATATAAAAATAATTTCCGGAATTCCGAAGACAAATTCGTGTAATTCGTGTAAATACAAATCCCGTCTAGGACCGCTATACATTGTACGCTATACACGGTCAATTCCGGACTATTTTAATCACAAACGATTTGTGTTACACTTCATTGTAATAATGGTTTTTATCTTTTTGCTTATCGGTTCATTATAAATACTTCGTAAATGATATCCCTCTTTTTGTTTTCTCCTAACTTCCTTCCCCATTTTTTTTATCAGATGGGAATCGAAAAACAACCAAACCTGTCAAATTATACGAAGAAGCAGATGCGTAATTTACGCTTATTTCTATTATTGTTCTTGGTCATCGTAATAACGTTTTTCACGTTATCGAATTTCACAAACGATTATGGGGAACTTTCTGGTAATAATAATGTACAGGATATGAAATGCCCACATTATAAAATCATGTTACTTATCTATTCGGAGGTGGAAGATATCGATAAACGTGCGTTAATGAGAGAAGGATTGTTCGGTATTACCGATAATCTGGTCCCTTGCATGAAACAAGATGATGCAATATTTTACCGATTCCTGATAAAAAAGAAGAAATATGAATACATTAATGAAATTGTCCTGAGAAAATATAAATCAGAACAAATTGAATATAATGATATTGGAGAAATTGAAGTTTTGAATGGTGATTGGCAACTATCTGCACTTAAATACGTAAGTTTTGAAATTATTATGGTTTTTTTTTTTTTTATTTTTTCCTGTTTTGCCAAACCATTAACCGTAAAATTTTTTTTTTTTTTGAAAAAGGCACAATTGTTAAAAAAAACGTGCATGTCATTCGATCATTTAGTATTGACCGAAGTTTACACTATGATAAATCTTGAGAGACTTCAAAAGAAAATCTCCTCATCAAAAATAGCCGACCAAACGATCTCAAATACACAAAAGATTGTATGGGGTTCGTTCAATTCCAACATAACGGATAGAATGGCTGTAATAATAGGATCTTCAGCTGTTCAAACAATCTTGGATAATTCGGAAGAATATGTATCGACGAATGATACCAGCGTTATCACCAGATTTTATCATTATCACTACGATCAACTAACGGAAAAAATTCCCAATGATTTGATTTTGGCTAATGATCAAATGGGTATAATAGAATGGCCAAATTCGATCAATAGCATACCTTGCATAGATTGTGTAATAGCCATAGGCAACATCTATCAAGATTGGGAATTTCGGAAGATTAAAAAAGAGCTGAACATTTTAACAATAAATCCTTGCAAGGTACGATCTGACCTTAAAAGGTATTCAAGGGGGACTACGAGTAATTTAAGGCCCAAAATCGTCGTGGCGACAAGTAGCTTTTTATATCATGATAATTGTATGTCGGAGGCCGCCTCTCTTTCCGCGCAGAATAAACGGGAATATGCCGAAAAGCATGGGTATGCGTTAGTGCCTCGTTCTAGCGAATACGCTCAACAAAACTATCGAAAGAGGGACGAAGTTTGGGGTAAGATCGACGCCGTTGAGAAAATTTTACCTTATTATGAATGGTTAATTTGGTTAGACATGGACGCTATTTTTACCAATAGGACTTTATCGGTTGAACATTTGTTGGAGATGTGTACGGAAAGGGTTGGTGGAAAAGAAGCATTTGAAAACATCAATTTCATTGTGGCTAGACCCATTGGGGATGACATGATTAATGCCGGTGTTTTCTTGATTAGAAATACCGAATGGGCGGTGGATTTCATCAGGGATGGTATACAAGCTAGGAGGGATCGTGCATATCGAGGTATGAAAGAGCAACAGGCCATGCGTGACGCAATTAAACACCCAAGATGGGAACCAAATGTGAGTACCTTTTTAGAGGTTCCTTTTGCCTTTCGTTGAGGTTTAAACCCTAATTTCCTTTTTTTTTTTTCCCCCTTTAGGTGTTGTTTTTAGATGGGGATGATCATACGATAAATACGTTTCCTGATAGATACATTCTGGGTGATTACATTGTACATTATGCCCCTGAAAAGGGGTGCCCTGCCAATCCTTTAATCGCTGGCATAACAAAAGTTAGAGTGATGGAGCAGAACCCTGAGAATGAAATACAAATACCTTTTTAATCAATAATAATATATATATATATATGGAATAGTTGGACATTAATTAAAGTAATTCGTATTTAGAAATAAGAAAAAAAATAAAATAAAATAAACAAACTAATAAAGGTATTCAATGTCGGCTTCGAAAACGGTAATAGCTTAAGGAACGAAATATGAAATATCACGTGGAAAACCGAATCTAAATTTGGGGTTCAAAACAATTGAATAAAAATAACAAGTGCAAATATTACTGAATAAAAAACGAACAAGAAATATCTGAAATTTAAAGTATATTTAGCATGTTTGTTTATAAGAAAGGGTAAATTTGTGTTCCCCACACCACTAAAGTATTATAGGAATTTCTTTGTTCACACTTTTTTGATATATTGTATTTTTTTTGGAATTATAAAAAAAATGTATAACCTAATTTTATGCGCCCAATTAAAATTAATCTTGGAACAATGTTTATTTTTTACGATTATTAATGATCAAAATCACGCTCATTGATAAGGATTTCATGATATAGGAAATAGATAAATAAATGACACAGTTACTTCTACATTTATAGGACAATGATATCATTTAAGAAAGCCGTGTGAAACGATTAAAGTTAACCCTTTTTGCCATGAAATGTTTCAAAGTGATTTCTCAAGGTCATTTTTGTGGCAAAAAAGCACATGTGGTGAATAATGAATTTCATGGGACCCGTTCCTGACCATTATAAAATTCGTTAAGTTAAATGATAAAAAAATGGTTTATTTATTCTTTTATGATTGTATTGTACAGGGTGAATTTTTTTTGGGGGTTTTGGGGGTTTTACAGGTTTTTTGTTTTTTTCCTTTTTTTTAAAAAAAAATTTACATGCATTTTCGAAATGCCATAAAATTATTAATTAACTATAATATCGAAAGGAATAATTAATGATTATTAGAAAAAAATTTCAACGCGTAATAATAAAAAATTTTTTTTTTTTTTTTAAAATAAATTATTGTGATTCTTGTAATTCCTGTGATTCCTGTGATTGATAATATAATTTTTCGACCAAGACCCTGTATTCATTTTCCATTAATTTTCTCAATTTTGATTCGTCTCCATTCGTAAATGGTTGATCGTATAAACGCCACTCCGCGTTGTATGAAGGACATTGCCTCAAAAGTTTTGGATCGTATTTGAACAAACGAAGGTTTTCACAACCGTCTTCTTCGATCGTTTCGGATTCCAATTCGTGTAAAATATCGGTCAATCTTTTCTTTCTTTGCGAAATCGTTACTCGAAGTTGTTTTCGATCGGCGGCCTCCCGATTCTTTAAGTCGGCCAAATATGTAGTAGTTTCGGGAGTACTATTTTTGTTTTGCGGAGCCTTACCACTTTAGTTTGTTTTTAAAAAAAAAATAAGGGAAAAAAATTTTAGCTTTTTTTTTTTAAAAAAAAAAGGGGGGGGAGAATCAACTTCTCGAGATAATTTACCTTACGAATCTTGGTTTATAACATTCATAACATGAGCGAACTTGATATCGCCAGTATACGCGGACCCAATTTTTTCTTTTTCCACAAAATTGACAACCTCGTTCCATCATTGTTAATCCGATATATTCTTGTTCAGTAAGGAGATATGGAGGCGGTAATTGAAGGTAACGCATGTGTTGGAGTCTTGAGTTTCGCCATATCGATTGTACAGAAGCGTCGTCAGACATGAGTAATTCTCTCAACCGCTTGCAAGTACCAGCGAGAGAAATTAGTTCATAAGGGGTAAAATCTTTGCAAATTAACAAAAGGTATTCGACGGAGATGTCTTCAAGTTTGGAAAATTTATAAAATTCCTTTGTAACATTGAGGTTAAAGGAAGAATTTTCCTTCGTTGTTGTTGAAGGAGAAAAAAATTTGAGAAATGGGTTTGATAAGAAACTTTCTCTTGTCGTAGTATTATTCGTCGTCGCTTTGGTTTTTTTGCTTGAACGTAATAATCTCTTTGCTAACGGTCTTATCGCCCAAGGAATAAATTCTTCAAAGGGTGAAACAACTTTTGGTGCCATTTTTCTTAAAGAATCGTTAAACAATTAAAAGGAGATGAATAAAATAAAATAATTATTATAATTATTTTTTGAGAAAAAAAAAAAAAAATATTTTTTTTGGGGGAATGTTGGAGATTCCGGTCAAGGGATTTTATATCTCCTCAAACTTCAGTTATTTATAATACCAAATATAAATTGTGATTAATCACAAAGTCAATGAAACAGAAATAGTGATGTGCTACCCCAAATATATGTAGGCTAGTTACAAACAAATTCGGGTATTTACCGATTCTATGAAATTTTTTCAACAAGAAATTTTTTTTTTTTTTGTGATTGAAAAGATTCCGAAAATATACAACTTAATAACTTTATCAAATTAAAAATTATAGAATCTAATACTAGGAATGGTTAATCTTTACGATATTTTTAATATATATCGATCCCCACTCGGCTGTGTCCTTTAAAGATTACTTCATTTTGATTTTTGATTATTTTAATAAACCAGTTTTTTTTTTTCGAGGTCATTCGCTACCATCTTTGGTCGCTCTTTTATATTCAAGAATCTCATTGAAAAATGATACCAATGATAATGCATCGAATCGTAGAAGAATAGAACGAATTCCCCTTTTTTTTTTGTTTTAAAGAATGTAACAATTATAATTTTATATAATTATGATAATTATAATATAATAATAAAGATAAAATAAATAAATAAGCAAAAGGATGCACCCAATTTGAATTAACTTATAGAAAAAAGGGTTGTTCATTCAGGAGAAACCGCGAGAGAATCCTTTTTTGCAGGTCAAGCAGTTAGGGTTCGCCCTTTTTTTTTTTTTCGATTTTCAACTGGTGCTCCTTTGAATTGGTTTATTATAAGATAATGTATATCACGCGAATTGATCTTATTGAAAGGATGCAAGGATGCACGAAATTATTTTAAGAAGCGAAAAATGTCGTACAAAAGCGGCGCACATTCTCATTGGTCGCTTCCGATGTGATTATTAACTTTATAGGGGAGAGGATTTAGGTGCTGATAAATGATAATGCAATAAAATAAAGATAAACCGAAAAATTATTTCAAGATCTCAATCTTGAAAAAAAAAATCCCAAAAGGTCCGCAGCAAGACTCCCGTCGCTAGATCCACATTCACTTTTCGATTTCGTTTAAATAAACGCTTCAAAACGCATACACATGAATATGCATGGGTATTGCATATGCCTTCATTATTTATTACAGAAGGCAGGTTTCGTGTTCCGGCAGGAACAGGTGTTTCTCGATCAAACGATTTTTTGGTTAAATTAAGAGCGATTTTCTCTTAATTAAGAAAGTCGGATTGCTTGGGGACGCATAAAATTTCATGAAATGGCACCCTACACACTATCTCTTTTGCTTGAGAAAACTGGTTTTTAAATTTTATGATTAGATCAGTGACTGCCTTTGATAAACAACGGCAATTTTTTTCTTTTTTTGAAACGCGTGATTGTTTCGTGGGGCAGTTTTTCAAAAAAAAATTTTTATTCGATTTTTAATTTTTTTTCCCAGCATGAACAGCAGACAGCAGATATATATCGTTAATTGTTTTAAATGATGAAACCAAAAATCATAAGATCAGTGGAGTAACTATGTGACGCAATTGCATGAGAAAAAAAAAAGGATGCATTCGATCGAATTCAAAGTTGCATTTCATAATGAGAGAGAAATATAAAACTTGAGTGGTGGTGACGTATCATTGGCTGCTAGATTGATGTGCGTTGCTTTTATTTAAAAAAAAAAAGTGTGCATGATATGCGTGAAAATTCTTTTTTTTTTGGGATGAAATGCCAAATCAAGGTTGGATAACGCCACATAAAGATGTCGGTTGAATTAACTTTAATGGGTGAGAATGCCTTCAAAATTTTTACCCACTTTTTTTTTAAATTTTTTTAGTTTAGGTTTTACATGTTAAAAATAGTGACTTCAATGAAAATATTGTCACATGCTAACGTAAAAGGTAGTTAATTTAAGGGCCCAAATAAAACTTTACACAAGAACAAAATATCGGCTGATAATCGTCACTTGATTGTCATAAATAAATGAATTCCTATTAGCCATTTTTGATCAGGTTCAGTTGTAAAAAAAAGTGCAACATAATGCCGATTCTGAAAGTGGTTAAAGCGAGAAACACTATCGAATTCATTTGTCGTGTTTTGGTGGTTAAAATCAGACGAAAAATAATTATTTTCTCAACTTATTTTAGTGCATATCTTTGATAGGTTAAAAAAGATTGATTTTCTCGTGAAAACGTAGTTTTTTAAGTTTTTGGTTTATGTCGTTCATGGAGAATCTTTTGCGATACAACTACGTCACTAAGCATATAATGGCGTAAATAACAATACTTCCGACGATAAATATTTACACTTTATTAAATAAAAAATAAAAAATCATCAAAAAAAATTAGTCAAGTATTCTCCTTGATAAAAAAGGACTTGTTTCAGGAAGTGGTTGGATAACAATATTTAGGAATTGAAGAATATTTGTCCCACATTAAATTAGAATTTAGATAGGAGTTCCATAAATAAAAAATATCTTCTAAAATTAGATTATCTTTGGTAAGACTGATAAAGCAAAAATCAAGTTTTCGGAATTTTTTTTTTTTAAAAAAAAATAATGATGTTTCAAAAAGTAAACAATTAATTACATTAATATTATTATTTATATTATATAAGAGACGATTAATTTCAGATACGTCGTTGCATCCTTTTGCCGAACCCTTTATTGGTTATATAAATATCGTGGGAAATCAAAATTGAACTTTTTCCGGATAGTTAATTATTTATTTATAAATATTTTTATCACTTGCCCACATCAAAAGTGCTGTCGTCTTTTAAGTTTAATATAATATAATACCTTGTCGTTTGTTAATAAATAAAATGCATTAAATACCTCATGTTTTTTTTATTAAAACAAGAAAGCGTTGGTTTGTTCAAATCTTGCACACTTTTTAAATAGATTTCTTTGCACATGACTATTTTTCGATTTCCTTTTCGCTTTTAAAAAAAAAAATCTTTTTTGATTTTTATTAATGATTTGTTTTGTTTATTCAAAATTTAATAAGTACAAGTTTATTTACAAAATATAAAAAGATCCAATTAAAAACCGGTTTGACGATGAGCTTGATCTTCAAAAACAAATCTTTTTTTTCCTTTAGATTCAATGAACCAATAAAAAAAAAAATTTTTAGACTTTCCTCGTGTTGTGACTAATGGCCTAAAATGATGATATTCTTTCCATCGATGGAGTAAAAAATATTTTTGACAGTTCCGATCGTCAACCTGACCGATCCGACCTGCATTTATAACCACACTTTTGAAATGACAAGCAATTAACTTTTGAATAAATATCTTAAAAAACTTGATTTAATCCTTGAAGATTGAGTTCAAATTAAACAGGTGATTGTAATTATTAAAGAGACTTCACCAGACCAGATTTAATGAACTATACTTTATGTTTCTCTCACTTACCTGATATATTTACATTTAAGAGGTCAACATTTCGTCATGCTTTCTTGACTATGAAATGTAGTAATTTTCGTTAGTCGCCAATTTTAACTCGTGATATTCTGAGCTTTTGATGGTGATTACACGAGCCATGCAAAGTCATGATCAATGAAAGAAATATATCCAACAAAGATAAATTTCTCAGCAGTGTTACCATCAAAATCTTTGTAAATCAACATATGGTTAGCGCCATTTAACCTAAAATAAGTCAGTTAATAACTTTGTCTTTGTACAAGTGTGAATTGTTTTGGAAACTATTTTCCTTTTTTGAGGAAGCTGTGACAAATCAAAAATAAAGAATTTGATTCTTTCTTTTTTATCTTTTATTTCTTTTAATACGTTACGAATTTAGAAATAATTTAACCTCAAAGTGCATATTAAGGAGAGTTTCAAATTCAATCTTAATGGTGCACGGATATAGGATAATGATTCTCGTGATTTTCCGCCATCGTATTTTTTTTTTTTTTTCACGTATATAACTGAATGTTTTTGATTTTCTAATTCGTTTTTTTTTTTTTTTTTTTTAAAAAAAATTTTTGTAAAATGCCTATCACGCTACCTCCCACTATTCTTGAAGATGACATCCCATCTTCTTATGTAAAAGAACTAGGAAAAGTCACATACAAGGTTAGTAAATAAACTAGCCATGTTTTCTTTCTCGTTACAATATTTACAATAACAAGTATGTGATGTTCTGTTTAAATATTAATAGCTTATCAAATTGTACACTTTTGATAACGATGGTGAAAATTATTCACCTCATGCCTATGACTCCAAAGATAAAACGGACAAACACAAATCTCACACCCAATTATTTTATAATATAACCGATAAAACAAAGTTATCAAAATGTACACCATCATATTTCCGAAACGTTTTTCGACCGGATGAAAGGTTTCAAAATTTACATTGGTATACCGAAGCGCTCAAATCGGTCTCTTCATCCTCCGAACCTTCTAATTTGTGGACGATTGATCAAGTGAAGTTAAAAAAGTCCAAGTTTAGTAAACGAATTAGAAGACCAAGAGTATTTTCAATTGGTAATGCCGAATTGGGACGTTCAGTGTTCAAATATGATAGTAGTAAGAACGAACCAAAAGGTTACTCCGGTAACATCGCCACTCCATGTGATAATTCTTGTATACAAAGGTATAGATGGGTGAGGTATAAAGATGGTTCTGGATGGGCGTTCATTTCCAGGAATGATCCAAATGCAACCTTGGTTGAATTTCTTAAAACGGATTTTGATCATGAGTTTGATATAATATTCTTGAAGAATTCTCCTCCAGGTTGGAGGATTTCACAAGATTCAAAGGATTTTGATAAACCCGCTCAATTTATGGGAAGATATCCTTCCGTATTTTCTAATCCTTCAACAATTCGATCCTCGACAACCTCGGGACTTCTTTCAAACGTTTCAATTCGTGAATCAACGTTTTCTGATATCTCTACCGCTTTAAGTGTAAATGATGAAAGTGTAGGAAACGGCGGAAAGATTTCTAACGTGAATTCTCTTTACTCTGAACGTAATTTCACTTCATTAGGAAATTTATCAAAATTTGATTCCGAAAAATCTTGGCAAGAATATGTTTTGGCTTCAACTGTTACCATTCAAGATGAGGTTAATCAAAACAAAAGAAGGTTATGGAAGAAGTGAACGAGATTAGGAACCTCACACATACACACTCACACATTCATATTTTCAATGTATATTAGTATATATTTAGCATACATAACTTATTTAAATAAATTTTTATTTCTCTCGTCTCGTGTTTTGAAACTTGTAAAATTGTATACACGCGGTCTCATTAATGATTGTTACAAGATTTCTTTGACTTCATGACTTTCCGTAAACCTTTTTGACATCAGTTCGGTTCGAAATTGAAGCGCAGCTAGCAAGAGAAGCTTGCCTTGTTCAAACTCTATGGATTTCAATTTCAATTTACCTTTTTTTCGCTTTTATTTACGATCATGCGATCATCATGCATAAATGTATTGCTGAGTTAATGTACGAGAACAAAGTGAAAATCTAAATACATTCATGTTTGAACGTACGAGTTAAAAATTTTTCGAATATAAATTCATAAATGGATATATTATGGAATGGTTACAAAGAACAAAAAAAAATGTATAAATGATGTTCAAAAAGAATCTACAAATCTCATCATTTTTTTTTTCCCTCCTTTCTCCCTTCCCTTCCCGCGTGAAATGACTAGTATAACACTTATTCCAGAGTTATTACAAAAAATCCTTTCTTATCACAAGGAAAATCCAAAAATAATTTTTAAATGCGCTCTAGTATCAAAAAGTTGGTGTGACACAGCCATACCATTCTTGTGGAAGAAACCATTTCGTTTTTGTTATTCAACTTTTCATTACAAGATCGTTAGAGTTTACCTTCAATTCTTACCAAAAAAATTTTTGGACGAACTTGATTTCAATCAAATCATATCTTCTGATAATCCTTCTTATAATTATTTATCTTTCTTACAAGAACTCGCTTATCTTACATTATATGAATCCCTTTTAAATTTATTAAAGAAACAACGATCTTATAAAACTTTATCAACATCCGAAAAAGTTCAAGATGATCAACTTTGTCCAAGTTTTCATCCATCTAAGCAATTCATGATCAATAAAATGTTACCGATTTTGAACGAACTTTGTAATTTATTCATCAAGAATGGTACAAAAATTCTCAATTTTAACTTATCGGCACTATATATTAATTGTAGTTGTAAATGGTTTCCTTTAAACGATATTAAACTTCCATTCAATTCATTATCATCGATTCAATCATTTATTTGTGATAATAATGGATGTGATTTCGGTGATATCGTCATGGAATTAAGTAAAACTTCAAGAAATATCTCGTCAATGGAAATAAAAAAACCACAATCTCATCAAAATATTTCTCAATGGGTAACGTTAATTAATTCACAAAGGTATTTACAAAAGCTTAAGTTGGAAATGTTTTATAGTAAATATTCATCAATGATCGCTTTGGCCATCCCTTCACAATATCATTCTCTGAAAGAGGTTGAATTGGCTTATTGTAAATTTTATCAAGCGAGCCTTTTGGATGAATTATCATCTTGTCCAAATCTAATTTCTTTAATAATTAAAGATTGTTCATTCGTCGAGAAATCCAAAATCATTAATCATTTCGTATCATTAAAATCTTTATATATTTCGAAATCTCAATTACCACAGGAATATTTTTTAGCCATGTTAGGACAACCATCAAAATTAGAAAAAATTACTCTTAATTTAATAGATTTTTTTAAATATCCAAAGATCATCCCATTCATTTGTTTAAATTGTTCTCAATTAAAAGTATTAGAAATAGTTTTGGTAGAAGAAACATTTGAAAAACTTGTATCAATATTGGAAAATTGTCAATTATTAGAGGAGGTATCAATTTGGGAGAAATTCGATTGGATAGGTCATGAATTTTATGATTATCATGATTCTTATTTTGGTAATTACATGAATCCTAATTTAGTTATAAAAAAGATTTCAAATCATTTACCAAGAAATCTTAAAAAATTGCACTTTTCTCAACTTTTTAATTTCACCTTTGAAGATATACAATACTTTATTCAAAATGCTCCAAATACTTTACAAGATTTGAAATTTTATGCTATAGTTAATGATAAAAATGATGTAATTAATCTTTTAAAAAATTTTGCTAATAATCGTAAATTAATAATTAACCATTCGGAATCTAAAATTAATTATAGTAAAATCATTCATCATGTCTTTATAGTTAAATTTATATAATTCAAATAAACAAAATATTTAAATTTTTTTCATTTTTAATTGCTTTAAATATATAAATACAATAATTAATTATATTTAAAATCAAATTTTTTTTTTTATAAATTAACTTTATTTTAGCAAAATATTTAAGTTAATAAAATACTTATATTTTATAAAAAAATATTAAAAAATATAATAAATTAATTTTTTTATATTAAATAAATAAAATATTATAATTAAAAAATTAAAATAATAAAATAAAATTAAAATATTTGATAAAATAATAAATAGATAAAGTGATATTATTATATTATATAAAATTAATAAATAATAATATAATAATAATAAATTAGAATTTATTAATAAAATAAAGATTATATATTTTATAAATAAATAAAATTTTAATAAAATTATCTTTAAATATATAATATAATAATTAATTAATATAAAAACATTTAAAATAATATTATAATTTTAAAAATATTTTAAGATTAATTAATTAAGTCACCAGCAACTTCATGATATAATTATATCATGAAGTTGCCGGTGATTTAGATTAGGTTATGAAGGTGACTTCATAGTCTACCGGTATCTTCATAATATAATGGTAACTTCATAGTCTGCCGGTGTCTTCATAATATAGTGATAACTTCATAGTCTATCAGTATCTTCATAATATAATGGTAACTTCATAGTCTGCTGATATCTTCATAATATAATGGTAACTTTATAGTCTGCTGGTAATTTCATAATCTAATTACATGATCTGGTGATAATTTCATAATCTAATATCACAATCTGATGGTGACTTCATAACATACATATGAGTATCTCCTTTGCGTTTATAACATTATTTTAACTATTTCCTGTATAATACGATAGTGTCTTCATAGTCTAATGGTGGATATAGTGCTTTAATTTAATGGTGATATCATAATCTAATGGTGTCTGCTTTCTTCTTGTTTCTAATTCATTTAGATGATAAATTCTATATTGTTGATACTGGCTTTCTGTAGCTGTTTAGATATCTGGTTTATGTTGAGAATGCTGGTCTCCTGCGTCTGATTGGATGTTAGATTCTATGTTGAAGCGTTTTTCCTTTACGCCTATTTGGTTACCTTTTTAAGGGCTGAAGTGGTGTAAAAAAAGATTACAGATAGCACGGTTAATTTGCTACCTCTATTTTCAATGACAGCCTGTTATGCAAAATTTTAGCGACAGGAATGACAAAAACCATTGTCCAAAATGCTTTTCATAATTTTATGAAATGTTGTTAGACTATTGTTACAAAACGAGTAAGCATAATGTTTATCTTATTCATCTTATAAAGTATATTCATATTCCGTAAGTATTTCTATTATATTTCATCTTAATCGAATATAGAGTAAATATCAGATATGGTAATATCCATGCGAGTACTACATGTAAAAAAATTCAATTTGTGTAACTTTTAAGGGATAATGTCTGACCCATTTGATTACCAGAATAAAGTGATTTTGAGGTATACAATTTGAAAGATCGAAGCTGATGCCTATTTGTTGCCGGTACATGTATGTCAATTTTGTGTCTAAGGTTGGAGGTGCAATATGTATTATCTTGGTCAGCTCATTTATATCATACCTGAGTACATGTCTAGAAAGATAAAGGCTTCTCCCAATATTTTATACAATGATTACGGAAAAGTCTTCATTTTTACATATATGCTAATTTCACGTCTGAGACTAGGGTATAATATGTATTATCATGACTAGCCTATTTATACCATACCCAAGTATATGTCTAGAAAAGTATAAGTCTTCTTCCATTATTTTATATAATATTAAGAAAGATATCCGCTTCAGACTTATAAATACATATATATCACATATGCCTGGATACATACCTTCGAGATGTAGCCTTTATGTCACACTCAGATATATACTAGTGATAGAATAGTCTTCTTCCATTATTTATATAAAGATTCTGAAAAAGACTAACTTAAATATCATATCCAAGTACATATCTAGAAAGGATAAGTCTTACGCGAAGGCTATATCATACCTGAATACATACTATCGAAATGTAATTTTTATGTCATACTCAGGTACATACAAGTGATAGGGTATCCTTTTTCCAATATTTATATAATAGAATACAGAGAAGGATACCCTAGATGACATACTCAGGTTTATACTAGTGTTAGGGTAGTCTTCTTCCATATTTTATATAATATTTATGAAGAAGACTATCCTAAATATCACCTATTAGGAATATATTTATTTGCGATTTGCTGATTAAGTTTGCTATCCCTTCTTTTTTTCGCATTTGTCTACTCTAGATGTCATATATGCCTGAACAAATACTAGTGTTAAGTAGTCTTCTGCCAATATTTTATATAATGATTACGCAGAAGATTATCTTAAATATCACTTATTAAGAATCTATCTATCTGCGATTCTCTTGCCATCTTGCTATACGTATCTTTTTGCATCCATTGAAAAAAAATTAATTAAACATTTCTGATTTTTATAAAGTAATATAAACTTTTTCAAACTAACAATATGCATACATTAACTATTTCTGCCTACTATGACGGTGCTGGCTTCAGTAAATACTTGAGTGACTCAGATAGCTATAATAATAATGATTTTAATTGTGGATCAGATGATTATAATAACTACGAGTCTAATTATAGGTCTGATAATAAAGAAGTTTCCTACGTTTCAATCAGCACTACTGAAGCTGTAAAGAACAAAAGGTTAATGTGACATATACTTTGAGTAGAGATGGGGAAAGTTCCAAATAGAGTGATTCAGAGTCAGTTCTAGAACTGAACGTCAGTTTCGCTCTTGAGTTGAATTGAGAAGTTAAAGCGAAACAATCAGTTCTAAGAGAATTGACTCTCTTGAGTCAGTTTTATTTAAATTTATAATATTAGTATTTAGTTATTTTAAGATAAAAATAAATAAAATAAAAATAAAAAAATAAATTTACGACTTGTAATTTTTGTAGCACAGTAATTTTGATCAATAATAGCAATTTTTGTAATGACAATTTTTGTAACAGTAATTTTGTAGTACCAATTTTTGTAACAATAATATTTGTATTGGCTATTTTTAAAATAGTAATTTTGTAGTAGCAATTGCTAAAATAATAATTTTGTAACATCAATTTTTTTTTAAAAATGATAATCATCAAAAAAAATCTAAATAATTCTCACGCTTCTTTTTGTTGAAATGGAAGAACAAAAAGAAGAAGCCTCTTTTGAAAAAAACATTAAGTAATGATGAATTCAATCCTAACCAACTTGAGGATAATGAAGATAAGTGGGTAATTAACCTTGACGAAATTAATCCTGATGAATCAGCTAGTAATATTTCAGAGACTAGTCAGGCTTCAGATTCAGAGACAAACATTTCATTAGAAAGTAGTAGTGTAGTTGTATTTTAATAAGAATCCAGCTGATGCATTTGGTTATAATATTTGTAAAATATGTTCAAAAAAATATCAAATATCAACAAGTGTATCTTCTTTACGAAAACATCTTTAAACACATCAACTTCAAGCACCTACAAAAATACAAAAAATTAAAAATAATATTACAACTTCTTATAATAGGCAAAAACAAAATGAACATGACAAATATCTTATTCAATGGCTTATACGCAATCTTTAGCCTTTTACCGTTGTTGACAATACTTCTTTTAGAAGTTTTATTAAATTTTTTTATCCGCATTATGTTATTCCTGATCGACATAAAGTAAAATTTAAGATTAATTTCATAATTTTTTATTATATTATAATATCATCTAACTTTCTTTTATTTAAATAGGTTTGATAATTAATACTTTTACTATGCAAAGGAATAATATTACCAACAAACTTCATCAAATTGCAGGAAAATTCTCATTAACAGCTAATATTTAGACTTCTACAATAAATCGGGAAGCTTTTTTAGAACTTAAAATTCACTATGTTGACTCTAATTAGAATCTTTGTAATTTTTTACTTGATATAATTCCATTTACCATTAAACATTCTGGAGTGAATATTGCACAAGAAATTATGCGCGTCTTAGAAGAATTCAATATTCTAGAAAAATTATCACACTTACAACTGATAATGATTCTGCAATGATAGTTTGTGAAAAAGAAATTTCCTCAGCTTTTGATAATGAATTTTCTTCAATGAATTTCTCACATTATCGTTGTGCAGCACATGTATTAAATTTAGGAGTGAAAAAAGGATTAAAAATAGTCAATAATTCTATTACAAAAGTACGTCAAATAATGCGTAATATTAAAAATTCTACACGTCTTTGTGATTCACTTCGTGATTTTAGTAGTTTAAAAAAAATTAAATATCTTAAACCAATTTTAGATGTGGATACGCGTTGGAACTCGACATATTATATGTTAAAAAGATTTAAAGAACTTGAACCAGTTTTAATCTTACTTGTAACTGACAATCCTTCTATTAATAATCTTTATTCTAATAATGATGATTGGAATTCAATTAAGGTAAATTAAACTAAAAAAAATAATATTTTTTTATATTTATAGATTTTTATTCTAATAAATTATTTTTTAATAGAATATGTTATTATTTCTTGAACTTTTAAAAAAAGCTACTAGATATTTATCAGTATTATTTATCTAATGATGAGTGATATTTATTTTGTATTTATAGAAATTCAGACACATTTAAAAAAATATATAAATGATAATAATTTACATCATGTAAAGTAGCAGTTTTAATATCTAGTAAAATTAAAAAATATTGGTTAATTATAGATAATTCTTCAACAATTTCAGTAATTTTAGATATCTGAAGTAAAATTTCTGTTTTTCAAAAGAATCAAAACTAAGTGTTTGTATTCAAATTTAATCTATATTTGAACTCTATAAAGAACAATTTTATTCATCTACAAATTTAGTTCTATTTATCTTTATTAAAAAGAATCATTAACATTTTATACGACTTTGACAAAATATAGCATCTATAA